ATAACGAACAAAATGACAAAAGTTTGACAAAAATACTAGATTAATAATTTTTTTAACAAAATATTATATTTAAACAAAAATATTAAAAATTATATGCTAAATAGAAAAAATATAAAAACTTAATATACTTATAATGCAATTATCCCCGCAATAAGCCGCTTAAAATCTTTGCTCGTACTTCGGAGCGTTGGGTTGCTTTACCCTTATGGCGTTGCACGTGTAGTTTTGTTTTCTGGTGCTTCAGCCATCCACGCATTGATAGAATTCCGTAAACGACAAATCAAAAATCATTATCTTTGACTTTTTAAGCGGATTTAGATGTTCATGGTATGTTACATCAATATTTTTTTTAAAAAAAATATTATTTATAAAACTTAATTCTATATTATAAGGAATCAATATTAATTTTTAAAAATTTATCTCAGATTAAAAGGATTAATTAAAAGAAAAAGTATTGAATTGATTAATAATTGAGGTTAAAATATTTGTGAAAAAAAACATACTATTAGAAATATTTTAACTCTTAAAATTTTGACAAATAGTAAAGTCTTTGTAATAATAAATATTTTTCGTATAAAAATTTTTTTTTAAAATTTTTATGTTAAAAATATTTGTATGTATAAGAAAAAATATAAAATATCGATCTTTTATTATTAGTAAAGAATGGAAAATGAAGAAAGAATTAATTTTCTTCATCAATTAAGAATATTTTAGAAAATATATTATTAAAATTTTTGAGCTGAAAAATATTTTGAAACAAACCTAAATAATAATAAAAACAATTTCTTTAGGACATTAATTGGAAGTAATTTTTAAAACTCTGTTGTTTTTTTAATTTAACGGACGGTTAAGGCACCGAGAACAGATTAAAAGAGCAATTAAAAACGAGTTGAAGAAATCCCACACAAATTAATCTCAATTACTAATAAGTTAATTAGCAGCTGCTTAAACCAAACCCCCACAGCAAACACCCCCTCCCTTTTTTTAAAAAAAATTACCTAGTTAAACGCTTCTACTTCAGTCAACGCTCGGAAGGCGGAAACCAATGTTGGGATCTTTTTTTCTTCAACTACTTAGTTTTCATTTGATTTTGTTTTATCAACCAAATCTATACTTGTTAGATGTTAGTACATTAAATGCTATTCATATACTCTTAAATTATCCTATCGGAGAAACAAATTACTCTTAAGTAAAATTTATTAGCTATAATAATTTAAAAGCATGAATTTCTTTTTAAAAATAAATTGAGTATTATATCCTTAATACAAAACTACTATTATAATCTACTATTAGTAATAACAAGTAAATGCAACTCCACCTCTAATTTAAAAAAAACGATGGGTAAATTCTTTTAAGAAATACTAAAAAATAAGCTATTTTTTAGAATGAATCTTATAGTATAGTTTTTTTTCCTTATTTGGATGCCATTTTTATGTATATATTATTTATTATATTATTCATCTAGGCTCAATTTACTATTCATCAAGTTTGTATTATTTTTTGCACTACGCTATGGAATTGTTGTAATTTTTAAAGTTTTTTTAAGGAATTTAATATGCAAGTTATTGTAACATTACATTTGGATTTTTTATTTTTTTACACATTTTTGTTTCAATTTCAAACTTCATTTCACTAGATCATTTTTTTCAGTAATTTATTCTTTAAAAAACATTGATTTTTTGCAAAAATTATAGAAAATCGATTGTTATTGTTAAGTTTTTTTCACATAAAATAGCAAGAAAGGAATATATATGACATGTTTCGTATTTTTAAACGAACATAGTTTTGTTTCAACTTCAAACATCATTTCACTAGCTTGGTTTTTTTCCAATAATTTAATTAGAAAAATTATTGATTTTTTTTTGGCAAAAATTACGGAAAGTCGATAGTTATTTTTTTAGTTTTCTACACAAAATGGCAAGAAATAAACATATATGATGCGTTTCATAGTTTTAAATGAAAATATATTTTATACTATAATACTTTTATTGTTTAAAATTAATTAATTCGATTTTTCTTTTCTTATAGAAATTCTCATCCAATTAACATTTATTTTTTCTGAAAAATATGATTTATTTTCTCTAAGGATAGATTTTTTAAATTAAAATATGATCATCTTTTCTTCTTCTTCTTCTTCTTCTTCTTCTTCTTCTTTTTAAAAAAACAATGGTTTACATGATGAATTCTAAAGGTTACAAATGTATTTTAGATGACTTATCTCAAATTTTAGAAAAAAATCTAAATACTTGTTTAATAATCAAAAGTAAAATGAGAAAAAAAAAAAAAAGGAAAGAATTCATCTGCGTGCAAGCTATGTATACAAGGACAAGCCATGTATGGCCTAGGAAAAGAAAAAAGATTGTTTTTTTTATAAAAATGGGATTTGCATGTTTTGTCTATACTATACAATAACAAAAGGATAAATTTTGGATAAATGAAATATAATTTATTAGCCCTTATGGTTTCTCTCATATTAAAAATGATAATTAAAAAATAAACTAGGGATAACAAAAATTTAACCAAACCGAATAATCATTTTAAAAATTGAAAGGATGTTACTAAATATCAAGTAAATAAATCGAGTTCACACACACATATAATAAAGAAAAAAGAAAAAAACACCTATATTAAACAAATATCAAGAAAATATTTGTCTGCAACATTAATAAATGATAATTTTAGTACCTTGGCTATAAAAATGATTTTAAATTTGAAACGATAGATTTGTACTAAATAATTTGTCCATATCTATATAAAACATAAATTAAATTAAACAATATGATAACATAATAACTTAACACATACAACAAAAACAACATAAAATCTAAACAAATATATATAACTATAAATCCAAAGCCACAGCAGTGCCTGAATCAAGCACTGATATGTATATATAAACTAGCCAATTTCTACCGCATGAGGGTTAACACATATAAATAAATAACGTCTGCATAATAAAATCAATGCAAATAAATAAATTATGCATGATAAAATCCATTCTTGTTGTGAGGTAGAAATGGCATGCAACTATTAAACTAATTCTAACATTCCTAATAAAAAAAATTAAATTAAATAAAAAATGACGTATTATCTTAGGTGGCATAACAAGAATCAAGAAAAATGTCTGAAATTCTAAGGTAAAAGATAAATTTGAATCTTATCCAACTGCTTCGGATTGAACCCAAGTTTCAATTATTTAACTTTTTTATAAATTATCTCTGATTATTGCCTGACGTTATTTTTTTACTTTTCTGGACAAACAATAATAATATTTTAAAAAGACAATATTTTGTTACATAATTTATAAAATATTCATTCATATATGTATTGTTAATTCATATTCATATAAAATAATCAAAAATAAATTTTTAAAATAAAAAGGTTCACAATAATAAAATGTTAATTGAAAATTCGTTAGTAATTGTTATTTTTAAGAGCTGTATATATTATCCTAACTATTAATTGTTAAATTTTGAAGATAATTCAATATTTACGTTCTAAATTTTACTTTTGTCCTCTTAAAAATTATTTTATATGGTTAAAAAAATAACAAATTAATTTAATTATCATCATCAAAATTTATATAAAATTATTTTAAAATCAATATTATTATTTAATAAAGGTTCGAATTTATTCATTTATAAATAATTCTAAACAATTTTATTGAAAATTAGAAAAAAAAAGTACTTTAGATTAGTTAAATAATACATTTATAAAGCACATCGCAAGAAACTAGTCTATTAATAAATGTGTATACCTTGTTTATCTTATCTTAGATGCCCACCATCAAAATTAACACCGTATTGCACAATCTTTATGCTAATCCTCAAGAAGGGCGGCTTTTATGAAATTTCAGATGCTTTTCTTTTCATGTTCAGTACTCAAGTAGTGCTCTTCGCATAATTTAGGGCACCCATGCCGTGCGCTACCCCTTCAAGATTGCAAAATAATTTTGGAGGAAAAAAAAATGCAATCCAAGTGATCAGCTTTTGAATTTTTTTTTTCTGTTTGATTTTCCAGAATCACATAAGCATATATATATATATATATATGAAGTCTACTGAAACATGACAGTATTCAACTAATGCATGGGCAAAAGTGGACTATACTAAGATTTATTGAAAAAATAAAACAATAAAAACTTTTATAAAAGAAAATTGCTAGCCATAATAAATAAATAAAAAAATCAAACTCATCTGGTCGAATGTCCGCAAAATTTCTGACTAATTTATTAAAACACTTCTAATATATTATCATCTAATTAAATACTTCATTTGCCTAATACAAGAATTTCAACTTTAGATCATTTAAACAATTCGAGTTTATTCAGCTAACGAGTAATTTATTTGATTTTTAAAAAATTCTTGCCAACTACCTTTTTTTTTATATAAAAGTTATATATATATATATATATATATTCTCAATAAATTTAAGTGAAACTTTTTTTTTTGTTACATATCAATTAAAGAATGTCAAATATCGGTGAAATCCGATCATGTTAGTATTTTCTAATCTTAGATGTATAAGAGAATTCAAATAGAAAAAAAAAACAATCAAACTTTGGATACTTACATAGAAAAACAATTAAAAGTTAGCTATTCAAATTTATTTTTTTCTAAATAATCTAAATGGGATCTATTTTTTGCTAAATATGAGTAAAAAACTGTTATGTGATAGTATATTCTGAACATATTAATATTTTAAAATTTTAAATAAATATTAGCACTCAAATAAGAAAAAAATCAAAATTTAAGTAAACAAATAAAAAAATTACCTATTAAACACTCACACACTAAAAAAAGATATAAAAAAATGAGACACATAAACTACAGTTTTCTTAATAATTTTGTGTCGGATCTTTGTTTCATATATAGACTATAGTCATTTAATTCAGTGGGCTAAGCTACCACAGTGAAAGACAGCACACACCCATTTCGCGTTGGCATCCAGTTTTGCACATTTGCCGTTGGATCTTGATGGGCCATTTGTGGTTGTTGATTATGAGCAGAAACTCCAGGTTGCGTGGAGGTTTGCCAACCGTTAAACCTACCCAACCCCCCATGTCACGTGCCACCGGAACTAATTTTTCAATTTGTTTAGCAGGGCACGGGTGAAACACGTGCATAACCCCCCCACCAGCTAACCGAACCCCTGAGTCTCTCGCTCTCTTATTTATATCTACCGTATTCTCTTCAAATTTGTGAGGCATGTCCCTGCTATCTGACTCTTTTAAATAGTAGCTGATACGCTGTCATAATTTACACCAATATCTAGCTAGGGTACTCAAGGTGCTTAATATTAATAATTTCCTTGAGCTATACGGCCAAGAAAAAAATATGGTGACCGTCGATGAAGTTCGGAAGGCGCAACGGGCAGAGGGTCCTGCCACCATCATGGCCATCGGAACGTCAACCCCTCCTAATTGTGTTGATCAAAGCACGTACCCTGACTACTATTTTCGTATCACAAACAGCGAGCATAAGACGGAGCTTAAAGAAAAATTCAAGCGAATGTGTAAGACAGACTTATAATCAATTAGTTAGCTAATTCCATTTCCATCATGCTTAATTATATGTTTTTCTAAAAGATTTTCCATGATTCACACAAGTATATATATATATATATATATAAATATACACTTGCTTCTACCTGCTAGATTCTGTCTCATCTTTACTTGCATATGTCCATGTTCTTATATATATAATCACTCATGATAAGTACAAATGGTTCCAAGCTACTCTGGTTTTGTATGAAAGAAGTTACGTATATTTGTGAAATAGATAAATTCATGGGGTTCTCATGCTTGGCTACTTAGGTGTACTGTCGATTCTAAGCCCATATAAGGCGAAAGAAAACGAAACATATGTGCAGACAAAACGAGACACAAAAAAACTTGGGTTGAAAACAGAAAAATATCTAAACATCTTTACTTGGGTCGAATTTTAACAATTAATGCTCCAACTTTTAATCAAAACATTTCAACAACAATTTAATAAAAGAACTTTTCAATTACAGTATATATATATATATATATATCAAATGTTATACTATAATGTGCATTAATTAATTTAGGAAAAATATCAACATAAATAATTGGGAGGACTAAAGTCGGTATCTTATTCCTGAGGGAAAATTTGAAATTTCTACATTTGGTTTAAAAGATACCTATTTTACCTGTTTATTTAACTAATTTAAAGTTACTCACCAACTGTTTCTCCATGAATTTTTGGAAACAAAATAGGAGCCAGGATTCTCAAAGATGGCTAAAACAGTGTGTTGTTATTTTAGGATTGCCGATGAAAATGGGATTGTCCAAAAATGAATCAGAACAGATGATTTCTAGTTTCTTAAACTAACCGATAAGCGGATCAAGTTTTCTATAGAAATTGAGAAGAAAATAATCATAACGCTCCCTTAGTTAATTTTTGGCATTATTTACAGGGATTATTACCATTGATGTTCCACTCTTTCATTTCAATAATAATAATAATATACCATAGAATAATCGATGTTCCAAATCTGTGTATTGAAGCGTGCAGCGTCTCATATCTTTTTTCCATATATTTCAGGTGAGAAATCCATGATCAAGAAGCGATATATGTACTTGACCGAGGAGATCTTGAAAGAAAATCCTAATGTGTGTGCATATATGGCACCTTCATTGGATGCTAGGCAAGACATGGTGGTTGTGGAGGTCCCAAAGTTGGGCAAAGAAGCAGCTACCAAGGCCATTAAGGAATGGGGCCAGCCCAAGTCAAAAATAACCCATTTGGTCTTCTGCACAACCAGTGGTGTTGACATGCCCGGGGCTGACTATCAGCTCACCAAACTTCTGGGCCTACGCCCATCAGTCAAACGTTTCATGATGTATCAGCAAGGTTGTTTTGCTGGTGGCACGGTGCTTCGCCTAGCTAAAGACCTCGCCGAGAACAACAAAGGTGCTCGTGTCTTGGTGGTGTGCTCCGAAATAACAGCAGTAACATTCCGTGGTCCAAGTGACGCCCATCTGGATAGTCTCGTCGGTCAAGCACTGTTCGGCGATGGTGCAGCTGCTATCATAATAGGCTCTGACCCAGTCCCAGGGGTAGAGAAGCCTTTATTTCAGCTAGTCTCAGCGGCCCAGACGATTCTACCCGATAGTGATGGGGCTATAGATGGACATCTTCGTGAAGTTGGGCTTACATTTCACCTCCTCAAAGATGTTCCCGGGCTTATTTCGAAGAACGTTGAAAAGAGTTTAACCGAGGCGTTCAAGCCTTTGGGCATCTCGGATTGGAACTCCCTTTTCTGGATTGCACACCCTGGTGGACCAGCAATCTTGGACCAGGTGGAGACTAAGTTGGGGCTTAAACCTGAAAAACTTCGGGCCACGCGACAAGTACTGGCTGACTATGGTAATATGTCCAGTGCATGTGTGTTATTTATTTTGGACGAGATGAGAAAGAAATCTGTCGAGGATGGACTTAAATCTACTGGAGAAGGGTTGGAATGGGGTGTGCTTTTTGGGTTTGGGCCTGGGCTTACTGTTGAGACTGTGGTGCTCCATAGCGTGGCTGCTAACTAGAAGCTGCGTCTGTTGATTCGCATGGCCAGCATGCATTTCCCCTTCCGTCTATGGTTTTGTTCTTGGTTTCTTTCAATTCTTGTCTATTTTCTACGATATGTCTCTGTTGAGAGCACTGGTTAGTGCGGTAAAGTCTCAAGGTGGTTGTGTATGGATTTACGTTTGTAATAAACTGTACTGGAAAACTCTCTGAACCATTAAATTACATTATGAAAATACAATTTCCAAAATCCCAAATGGAAACTTATGTTGTCTATCATGTGATCCGGAGAGGATCTATGCCTGCGATCATTGTTTCAGATGATGTTGTAACTATAAATACGTTTTGGAGGGAAAATTTTATATTACTCATGAACCAAGTAGTGTATGTTACTTTATAAGAAAAGGATAAAGATAGACTCTCTCTCTCTATATATATAATAATAAAGAAAATTTGAATTTAGATTGAAATATTTTTATCTTTTAATGGTTTTGGATGCGATTTTTTTTATGTGTATATCTTTTTTCTAAAAAATAGATTCATAAAATAATTATTGTATACTTATACTAATTATTCCATGAATATTTTAAAAATTTTCTGTGTTTAAAGAGAGTTTTGAGGTGTATTGTTTATGAGAAGATGATGAGAAATTTTTTGTAATATATTTTTTACTTCTCTATCCAATCATCTATTTTAAAAATTAAAGTGTTCATATTGAAAAAATGAAAAGAAAAGTGTTTATATATAAGTTGGTTTTATAATTTATTAATTGAAACTTTTGAGTTAAGGGGTTATTTATTTTTGTGAAAAAATTTCGCATTTTGTCTAGTTGCACCATCTATTTTTATTTCTCAATGTGAGTTTTAAAATTCTAAGAAAATTGCAAGGTAGGACAATTACAAGAGGTCAAATGGTTTTATTAAAAGGGCCAAAAAAAAAAAAAAAACTCTTGTGAGGTCTTTTTAGGTTAAGTCCAAAATTTAAGAGGGGCAACTTGCCCCCTTCGTTGGCATGTGTGGCTTCGCTACAATCGAAATCAACCAGCGCTTCAATTAACCATCCATATCTACAATTTCTTTTTGAGTTTCAATATCTACCATTTCTTTGTGCCTTTTCTTTCTCTTTTTCATATTCTTGTATTATAATATATGATTTTCATATTTCCACATTCACAAACAATTAATAATCAGGTATTATGAATTTAAACTTCTCATTTTACTATTCTTGGAACACGTTAAAGATTATATGATTGCAGTATAGTATTTTGTATAAAACATCAATAGATATGTTTGAAAATGAAAAATAGATTTATGAAACTAATATGCGACAAGGAGGCTAATAGAGGAATTGAGAAATGTGACTCCTTCTTTTATTTCTTGGATAAGATATTTTGTAAGCCACCCATGCGAAATGTATGTTCATCTCTTATATACTGAGACGAATCAAAGGGAAGGAAAGAAAACCTTAAATCAGTTACAAGAGAAGACACTCTTTAAAGGGTTAGTGGTTGCAGAAGTTTTTCTACTCTCTCTCTCTCTCTTCTTTTTGTGTTTATTTCTTATTTTTACTTTTTTAGTTTAAGTTCATCATTTTATGTTTGATTTTTTGAAGTTTTTCTCTCTGTTAACTTTTTGAGTTAATAGTATTAAATCGTATCATTAGCTTTATAGGATTGCGACACATATCGATCTTTTTTTTATCTTAATTTTGTCTTTATTTTTTTTTCCTCTACTAAGCTGAGTTTGAATTCTACGTCTACTCTTTTTTTTTTTTTTTTTTCAAATATCAAGAAAGCATTATTAGTACTGTCCGTTTGAGGCCAAATCCACAATTCATAGCCATTCTAGTGATGGCACAATAAGTTTTGATTCTCCTTTGAATGCCTTGGGTTCTTTTTCAATGTTCCCTTCCATTAGCAAAAAAAAAAAAAAAAAAAAGGCCTCAAGAAAATTGTGATGTAACCAGCAGCTATCGGAGGCATAAGTGCCTGATCAAGAACGGAAAATATGTAGCTCGGTCCTCAGATAGAAAGAAGGAATCTCTCTCCTTTTAAAAAGTTGTTTTTAGTGAAATTTAATGATTACATAATGTTAATAGTTTTATTTGTTTTACCTTTTAGCAGGCTTACACAACTGAGTTGGAACTTGAAGTTGCTCTTTTAGCAAAGAAGATTGCCAAGCTTATCAGCAAGTAAGAAAGGGAATTTTGCAAAAATATTCTAGGAGATTTTTGCGAATATATATATATATATTTCATTTTAATCACGTAGCAAATTAATTTGATGTGTAATGCCATGTGAATTTTTTTTTAAATACTAACTGTCATTTTTTATCAAATAAAAAAAAAAACAATCGAAGAGATCACATTAAAAAAACTAAAAAATACAAAAAAAGGTTAAATAAAAAAATACAAAAGCCGCATTAAAAAAGAATAGAAAGATGTTTTTAGCGATTAACCTTTAAAAATTATGATCAGGGATTACTTTGTCAATTGCCGTCTACTTCAAAAATAGTTCTTGAAGCCTTTTTCAATCACAGAAAGTCAATATCGTCTCTTGAATGAATAAAGTAGAGAAAGGACTACAAAGTGCAGAATAACAAAAAGCATGTTACAATGTCACATCTTTTTCATAAATAACCCTATTTTTGTGAGAACATTTTTCCATGTTCCCTTGTCATTTTAATTTAATTTATTTTGTCCTAAAGAAAATTTTAACTTAAGAATACATCATATGACAAAAACAAATTATCTCCGCTGTTGCTTAGTCTCAAAGAGCAGATTTGTTTGGTTGAGGGGCTCGTTCAAGTTCAAGCTACCTGGTTTAATTTTACTTCCTTTTTTTTTTTTTTTTGTGTGTGTCTGTGATGATCAATGAAAAAAAATGTATATATAGGAAGAAAATTAAAGCAACAATTGAATTAAAAGCTAAAAAAATGTAAATCTTATGCTGTGTGCTGTGGAAATCATATATATATATATATATATAA